ACAGTGTTTGTCTCAATGTCTCACAGTTTGTCTCCATGTCTCACAGTGTTTGTCACCACAGGACACAGCAGTTTGAGTCAGAGAACTGAAACAGTCTGGACTAATTTTAAGCTCTACAAAAATATGATTTCCATGTTTATAAAACAAGTGTTTTGTTCTGTAACACCTTATTCTATATTTAAAGTGTTTCTAGTTTGAAGAAAGTTAAATATTTCTTCTCACAGTAAACTTGTTTAAGTTTTAGCTGCTGACTTCTTGCAGAAATGCGTTTATGTTGAAATAAGAATCTCTCCAAACCGTCCTCCTGAAGTAAATTATTAATTTTCTGGACAATAATTTGTTCCGTTTTTCTGCTTTTTAATCCAGTCTGTTTCCGTCAGATGAAGACAAAGTGCAGCTTGTGGTTCCACTTCACCTGCCCTCTCTGCGGCTGATAACCGATAACTGTAGCTGCTTTGTTCATCGGATGCAGACCAATAGTTTCAGACAAAGAGCAGCTTTGTGGGACAGTTTTTTGAAAACGTTCACATGAAGGTAACTCTGGACCAACAGCCCAAGACAAACACTCCGGTTCCATCTGTTCCTTATCTAATCTAGAGGTTTTCAAGCCAATGATAAAATAAAATATGCACAAATAAGAAAAAAAAAGTTAAAAACTCAGGTTAAGATATTTGTACTTTTCAAATAAAACAAGATAATTTTAATTATTGCTGTAGGAAAATATTAGCCAAAAGTGTCAAACCTCTAACTAAAAATAGCAAAACAGTAGCAGTAAACAGTAGCAAAATGAAAGCTAACAATAGATAAATGCTAGCAAAATCTAAAGAAAACTAGCTAGAAATAGCAAAACACTAGCTAAGAGCTAAAAATCAAAAGACCAGCTAATAGTATAATAGCAAAATATCACAGGACATCCGCTTTTACCTAAAAATAGCATTATTAGAAAATTACAAGTATTAGCATCAATAGTTGTAGTTTAGCATTATTAGAATAGCCATTAGTAGCCAGCACTGATATAGGTAGCAGTTTAATAAGCATATTCAAAATGATCATTATGACAACCACTGTGAGCAGTAATAATAACAGAAGAAGCAGAATTAGCATTAGCTGTATTAGTATTAACAGCCTCAAAAAGTAAAAAATAAAATAAAATTCACGTTAGTAGAATTAGCATTAGCAATAGTAGTACTAGCAGTAGTTGTGGCATTAGCAGTATTGGCATTAACAGTAACAGAATTACCTTTAGTACAAAGTAGAATTGACATTAGTAGCAGTAGTACTACCATTCGCAGTAGTCATTTTACCTGTAGCATAATTAGCATTAGCAGCAGTAGTGGTTCAAGTTATGTTTATTTGTCATATGTAGGTTAACACAAGGCTAACAGTACAATGAAATGTTCAGGATGAGAAGAACCAATTTGACTCGCTAAAAACAAACAAACAAACAAGAAATACTAAAGCATGCAATAAGGGTGCAAAATAAAGTACCAAAAAGTGAAAAAGTAAACATAATATTTACAAGGTCCAAAAGAAATATAGTAAAATATAACTGAGCAAGTAGGATGAATTTGTATCAATAAGTATTTCAAGGTAGTCGTATAAGCTTAAATGCACATGATGTAACACTGAGATTACCAATAATTTAATTATGATGGTAAAGTAGTGACATATATAATAGCAGAAGCATAATTAGCATTAGCAGTATCAGCAGAGGTATGTTAGGTTATAAAACAACAAGTTTTCTGAAGAAACTGAAGAGCTCAACAAAGTTCATGCTCTTCATACATTTCTAGTTTTATTAAATGTGTTAAATGTTTTCAAAACTACAAAAAAACAAACTTTACAGCAGCAATCTCCTGAATGAGCTGCAATTTGAACAACTAAAATAACACAATATGTAGAAAAGGAAAAGACAAGAGAACAACAGTGAGATCACACTTTTAGAATATCTGTCTGAATTTAAAAAAAACAATAATTTTGTGGCTGAAAACACCAAAGTTCAGACTAACCAGCATCTTTTCTGCATATATCAGCAGATTTTAGGTGTGACAGCATGACGGTGGCTCCGGTTCACTCATAATTAGCATGCGTTTATGCTTCTATAAGCTGGTAAAACATCCCAAAAAGGTCAGAGACAGAAACGATTTGACATGTCGGGTTGTTCAGAACAAACCCTGACCTTCAGACTGCCGTTAGCTGCTAAATAAATTTGTTTAAATAGCTTTGGTTTAATG